AGAGGCATTTTTCTTGCAAAACTACTCAATGGCTGGACTTTTGTGTGGCGCTTCCGTAGGGAAACTAGTGAATCACGCCATTAAGACGGGAAGAAGGAATTCAAAAACCTTTGGTAGCTCTTTTCACTTTACAGAAAGTCGTATGTGACCTTTGCTACTAAATTGGATGCCTGATGTGTATTGGAAATGGTAATAGGAGACATTGCTCTGTGGAAAATGTCCACAGCCCTTTGTGGCTGTCCCACAAGCTGCTTGTTTTTCAGCTATTTGCTAAGATTTCTTTTGGAGTTTTGAGATGTTTCCTTTCATCTTCTGAAAGGCAAGCCTAAAACAGAGCGATTTTAATGGACGTATTAAAAATTCTAAAATTGATGTTTTGTCTGGAGATGTTAAAATTTGTTGTAGAACTACAGCAGGACGAGGACGGTTAACCAGATGTGCCTGTATTCAAGGACCCAAGGCCAGTGGTGCTGGTGTCTCCTATCCAGCAGGATGCAATCTGCCTTGCAGAATTAGTTTTGTTCATTGAATATTTAGACAACTTAAGTGGCTGGTTATCATGGTGAAGACGCACAGTGAATTGGGCAAAAATGAAGTCTCATTCAATGCTCACTGAGCAATAGAGCGAAGGATGCTGCGTGACTCATACCAAATAGAGCTGAAGATGTGGTATTTGAACTAGCGTTCATCTCTGGTTTTAAATAACTTTGTGCAAGATTGAGTTATCAACAGAAAGAGGCTGGTGTCTGCTGCAGGTTGCTGATGTCCAGCGCAGTGCATGGACTAAAATCCTTCAGTAATACCCAGCTCCGAGTTTGGTGCATCGGCAAAAAGAGGAGAGCTGTGAGAAGATGCTTGTTAAAATGAAAAGCCTTTAAAAAGTGGGGTGAGGAAATGATTTGGAAGGAAATGAACATAAATCAGCATCCAGCATACTGTGAAGAAGACGAAAGAATTACTGTTGCCATTTCATCCTTTGTGTCTTGGGTGAAAACAGTAATTTATTTCCCTGAGATTTCTGAACAACAAAACCTGACAAGTGGAGGCACTGAAGAGGTGGGCTCCTCTCTTTAATGAGCACCTTCTGCATCGCAGCTTCTGCGGAGGAACCGGGCGCCGCAGAGCCCTGGGATGTCTCAGCAGATCCTATTGTGCCGCGCACACGTGTTTGTTCTTTCTTGCCTTCCCTTGAAAAGGAGCGCTTTAAAAACAAAGCCGTGGTACAAATCAGAGCAAAAGTAAGGTATATTGGAAGCGAGGAGTTGGGAATCGCAGAACTGGGCTTGTGTGGAATATTAATGGTCCAGTTTCCTCCCTTATAAGCACTTCTTGATCTTGTCAGTTGAGGTTCTTTCGGTTCTTGGGAGCGGTGAGAGCTGGAGTTGGGAGATGGGACAGCAAGCAGGATGTGAACAAAATAGTAGAGTTTCCCAAGCCCTGTTTGCTGAGGAAGAAATGACCAAGCTTGTCGGCACAGCTGAAGGGCAATTAGGCAGCAGATGGGGCTCAGGGTTTCTGTGACAAAACCAGAATTTATGCTGCATTGCAGCCCGGTCCCCGTGCAGCTGCTGGGTGCTACGGCAGGGGCTGGGAAGGCTGCCTGCAGCCCGTGGTTTGCAGCGCCGAGCAGGGCAGGAGGGAAGGGGTGGCCTTGGTGCCAGCTGGGGACCAGGCTGTCGCACGGAGCCCCTCCACCCGATGGGTGACTCCAGCCTCCCTTTCCTCACCTCTCCAAGTGCAGCCTGGTGGCTCCCAGCAGGGACCACATCCATTTTCTCAGGGATTCTCTGTTATATGAATCTTCAAGTTGGCTGTAACAGGCATTTATTTCTGTGTGTGTTAAGTAAGGCTCCGTCCTGGGAACAGCCCCCAACCCTGGCAGCTTCGGAGAGGAGCCTGGCAGGGTGCTGCTTTGTTGCAGCTCTGCTTCCCTGCTTGCAGCTTCTTGGAGATGGCAGAATCGGAGTAAGCAGCTCCTTGGGGAAGTGCCGCTTGGTGCCTGCGAGGGACCATTTGTCACTTGACAAGCAGCAAGAGCCCTGACAGGGCCCCGGGCTTCCCTTCCGTGCGCTGCGTGTTGGCCCATGAGGCTCTTCTCTGGGTGTCTCCTTTCCTTGCTAATGGATTGGGATATCCAGAATCAGCCCCATCGTTCTTTTTCCAAGGTGTTTGTGCTACAGTTTGGCCATCCTGAGTCATTAAGTCCTCAGGGTTCGAGTTAGTTCCTCAGTCCTTAGCTCTGCAGTCTGCTCTGTGCAGGGATGGGCTAGCACGGGCGGCTGGAAGGCAGTGATCAGAATTACCTTCTGTCCCCAAATTGGAAATAAAGGGGGAAAGGGAGAGAAATGAGAGGCGTTTTCATAAAAGTGTTGCTGTGACATGCAAATGGAGTGGAAACTTTTTTTTTTCCTTTATTTAAAAGAAAAAAAAGGTGGCGGGGGGAGAAAGAGCATGTTTTTGTACCAGGAAAAGGTGCTGTGGGATTTTCCAACTTAGCTGCTTCATGGAGAGCTAGAAGTGAGGAGGAGAGGAGATTGCCTGGAATGAAAAGAAACCTTCATGTAAAATTCTGTTCAAGTGCTGCCTTTGAAATCTTTCAAAGTCCTTGCTGTAACCTGCATTTTATGTGAACTCCCTCTCAAATAGGGACTTCTTTACGGTGGCCTGGGAAGTTGAAGTCGCTTGGAGGTCGGCAGTGCCGGCTGGATAAGCCGGGGCTGAGCCCTCCGCGGAGAGCCGGGATGCGGAGTGCCGGGATGCGGTGCTGGCGCTGCGGTGCATGGAGGGCCGGAGCTGCTGGTGTTTGGGAAGGTGGGAATCCTGAGGAGCGGAACTTGTCGGCACCTTCTTCTTCTTTCCCTTCAGCTTTTGAGGACAGATGTCCCTTTTTTGCAGCTATCCGGTGTTCCTTGTAATCCACAAGCTGCGTGGGCATTTAGGTGGTTATATTTAAATCAAAGGCTCTAGGCGTGATCTTAGCTGCAGATCCAGCTGCAGTCTGTGTTTTCCTCCCAACCTCAGCGGGCCCTGTCGGATGGCACCAGGCTACAGACTGGCCATGGGCTTGGGGTCCTGCTGCTCTGACATTCCTAATTCTGCTGTGCAGATATGGAGGCTGATGGCTTTTTCACATAGTTTTGGAATGGAGCTGGTATCCATGTGAAGGAAAGACCCAGGAGTTGCATCCTTCTGTAACAACTGAAGGGAGAGAAGTGGAAAAAGCAATTTGCAAAGCTACGCTTGAAAATCATCCTAGCATAACATCATCATTGCAATTATCTGTCAAAAGATTTAGTTCAATTACTTTTTTTTAATCCCGCTTGTCAAGATGGCCTTGCTTGTTTCAGGATTTTGGAACTCCAAAGGGAGGTTAAGGAAAAATGAATACTAATTTTGCCATTAACTATTGGTAGCCAAGCTTCTCCTTGCACCCTCCCTTGGATTTTTAGCACTGGTACCCTGGGAATCGATAGGCATAAAGTGCTCTGGGGACTGCAGAATTCAAGGGAAAAAGAAAAACGTTTCCTATTTATAGCCTACAGTAAGTACAGCAGGGTGAGAGGGTGAAAAATTCAGATGTCACTGGTAATTTTGAAATAATTGAATAGCAGCATAATTGCTATCATGTAAAGGATTATACATGGTTCCTTACGTTTTCTTCACACAACAGTAGGCTGGCAGTAAAGTTACAAAGGGAGAATATTTGATGTAATAAACTCAAATTAAATTGAGCTGTTTTCAGCGAGCTGCAGGACGCTCTGCTCTGCCTTGCTGTTTCATCCCGAGGAGGCAGCGTTTGGAGCTGGTCCTGGGGCTGCGAGTGGCCCTGGCCATGCCGGGGCCGCTGGGCACCCTGGTGCAGCCCCTCGCGAGCCATTCTGCCCGTTGGCTTCCTGCTCATCTGCTAACGAGGGCTCTTTTACCTATTTCTCTTTTTATTTTCTTTATTTTCTATTTTTTTTTCAACCCACTTTGAAATGTTAATTGTTTTGATTCTTATATTGCTCTTTTTAACAGGAAAATAAGGGTCTGATCTAAAGTCTGTACTAAGTCAGTTTAGGAGGTTAATTCCTAGGATCTAAACACCTCAACTCACAGGCCTGTGACTTCAGCAGCTAAGCATATACTTGAGGACTAGCTTATAATTAAAGATACATATATAAAGACATTTAGCTGGGTTCAGGGCTATTATAGCTGTTTTTAAATACCTGTACGGAGCCTCAGTTCGCTCTCACTACATTTTCTTGAATGACCTTGCGCTTGTAAATGAAAACAGAATTGGCTCTAGCGATTACATAAAATCCAAACTACAATTTTGAGCTAGATTACTCTATTTTTGTGTGTGTAATATAAAGCAGACAGTAAAATTCACAGGGGAGATTAATTTTATCTTTCTAATAAGAGTCTTGAGATCCGCTTTCATTGACTTCTGAATTTCATTCACCTGTCTTCATTTTATGGGAGAAATTTCTGGAATAGCATAATTCATTGCAGAAGCTTTTACAGTGTTTCCAGTGGGACAATAAGGTTTCTAAGAGAAATTATATGAATAGCCTACTCTTGCTGAATATGTGAAAATGTGAAATGTGCTGGATTTTTTTTGTTGCTATTTTATTTTAACCATGTGGCTGATTTGTGTGAGATGAGAAATAGTGGCCAGCAGGGTCCCCTAGTCATAACACACAAAAATCTGCTAGATTAGACCCATACTGCTTCACATAAACAGTTAAGCTTCTGTTTCAATTTTTTAAAACAAAATAATATTTTTCAGTGTCATTAAAAAAAAAAAAAGCCCTTTTGTGTGATATTCCAGGCTAAATTATTCATAGGCACTTACTTTGAACCATTATGTTTTCCTACCTCTGCATAAAAATAAACCCAGAAGTCACTAGATGAAGCCCTTGCCCCATAATGGTTCTTTGAGAAATGCTTAGCTGTAGCTGCTGCTTTGTTGCAGCAAAGAGCTGTGATTCAGACTTCGTACTATGTTTGTGTTTCAGCTGTCAAAGGAAGTGAAAGATGAAGCCTCTTGTTCTCTTGACTCTTGTGATCTGTACCGTAGTCAGCATGAATTTGAAGTTCGTGTCAAAGAGAAATTCTGGTAAGTCACAAACATACTTCTACCTTTGAATTTGGATTTAGCACTCATGCAATCAAGTGCTTTAGATGTCTGCTTTTTGTTTTGCGTGTATATGTCTTGTTCTCTTATGCAAAAAAATGTCATAACCAGTGTGGTCTGTTTATCAGATGCTACAGGATGAATTCTATCACTGTAAATTTTTGTTGATGTGACTTCTAATCTCTTAAACTACTTGAAAGTGTCCTTATATTTTCTGTAATAAAAAATAAAAATATATGAAAAAGGTTGATTTGGTTGAAAACCCACAAAAATTCTAAGGATGTTGTCATTATTTTAATACCAGAGCATGTACTTTGCACTGCCTGTGGATGTGGTTCCTGATGACTTGTAACTGGGTAACTTTTCTTGAGATTAGTAGGGCATCTTCCAGCAGGTCTGCTAGCCCTAGATATGACCACGTGCAGGGTGACTGAGAAGAGCTTTCCTGGAAAGGAAAATGGAAATGAATGCAAATAGAAAGGAAAAGCTTCCCTGGGAAGGGAAGTTTTGGAGCTTTCTGCCAAGGCTCTTAGGTCCCTTCTCAGGGGACATGTACTCGGCTGAAGCCACTTGCCTCTCATGCAAGCTCGATGTTTGGAGGACGTTTAACCACACAAGTAGCTTAGCTCCAGTGTAAAAGTTAGGCAGGGATTAAGTACAGTTTTTAACAGCACTATATTGTATACATTTTTAGGCTAATGGTGTATAACCTACCCAAGTTCTTTAATAATTGAGTTTCTGTGCACAAATGTGAGAGCTTATGTTCAGCTTTCTGTCCTCAGTGATTTCTGTAGCTGATTTCAGTAGCCAAGGTGGGAACCCCAGTCGTCTGTATAACCAGGCGTCCTTCATTCACTGACACCAACCAACATCACCTGGCGACAGGGGAGGGCCTTTGCATTCCCTTTTATCAGAAACTCACATCTGCAGGTGTAAAATGCTGTGGTTACAGCATCATTCAGCTGATGTTTTTTCTTTAGTTATATTTTAGTATATTGATCTTTATTTTAAAGCCGCTTGCTTTGACTGCCTTTGCAACATGCCTTATGGTATTGACAGCAGTTGTTGGTATCAATTTGTTGAATATTGGAAGGAGAAGCATTTTAAAATGTTAGACTGTCTCTTGCTAAATATAACTGACTCGAGCAAACACTTTTTAAATTTGGTTGAGTAGGTTTATGAGTGTAAATGATGGGGAGAAATGGTCAAAGGGTAAACTTAGACTTTCTTTGCAAGTGCATGACCACGCAGTCGGCTGTTACCTTGCAGTGTTGGTTCTCTCACATGCTGATTTTAGGTTGCTGTGTGGAGCAAACTAATGATTTCTTTTTTCTTCCACAACATCGTGTATGAAATGGATTTTTTGTTCTGTGTTTTCACCATTTGCAGCAAATTTGATAATTTGACACCCACCCCCCGAAAGGGGCTTTACACATAAAGGACTGTTGCATGATGGCTTGGAGCTTCTAAGAATATTGTGTGCTGCCAGGGGATGTTGTGTGAAGGTACCGAGGCTCAAGAGACTTGTGAGCTTTAACTATTTGTTTGCCCACATGTCACCCTCCAGACAAGGTGTTGAGCAGCAGTGCTGTGGTACAATGCCATTTTTGCCAAATAGAGTTTTTTTCCAAGCTATGGTTATTGCATGAAGCCCCAGAATTATGATTACTTTTAAATACAATAGTATATATAAAGTCAATTAGCATGTATATAATAACCCATGATGGACTGTATCTTGTTAAGAGTGAGAAGAATCGGGGAGTTGAGGAGGACTTGGGGTGGAGCACTGAGGAGGAGCTGTGTTGTCTTCAGCTGCTGTGGAGAAACCACAAAAGTTGAGCAGGGAAGTAAGAGGGCAAAATGTCCAGGAGAGCTAAAGGAAATAGGAGCTTGGCTAGGAAGGCATCTTCAGGGACAGGTAGGGGAAAATGTTTCTTAGATATGAAGGAATGGGAAACCCAGTGGGAAAAAGCAAAGGATAAAAGGCTGAGAGCTCCAGGCAGCAAGTGCAGACAGTGCCCAGGGATTGGGCAGGAGGCATTAAAGAGAGATCAGATGTGGCAGGTTGTAGATGTGAGGAGGAGGATGGGGAAATGGTGCTCCAGTTGTAGACATAAGGTTAAAAATTGGTAGAGGAACAGTCCTTGTTGAAAACACCAGGACTGGATGAGATTTGTCCCATGTCCTTTCCTTGCCCTTTGCTAAGGTATATAATGACTACAGGTAGGTCTCAGAGTGCTTTGCAATGCTGAAAAAAACGACATAAATGCTTGTACCAATAGAAGCGTGTTTGGCTTTTTCTTGCTTGAGACACCCTGCCAAAATAATTAAAGTGGATGAGCTGATTTAATTACGCCAATCAAATTGTCCTTTACAGGCAGCGGCTTCCAGATGCTGCAGAAGAAATCTCTTGTCTACAGAGTAGTGATTGCTGCTTGTGGTGGGAACAGAACAGTTTGTCTTAAGCATCTGTGTGAATATATCGTTGACCTCAGTTTTGCAGGCTTTTCTTAAGGAGCCTTTTTGGAAGCTGCAGGTCGTCCTTGTGCTTTGAGAACTGGAGCTCAGCAGAGGGTGCTGGGACTGCAGCCCCAGAGATGCTCTAGAAAAGTTTCACAAGTGGATGTTGAACAAGAGGAACCGAGGATATGGAGCTGTTAGGTTTCCAGCTGATCGGGAGTTTCCTTTTAATCTGATTAAATGACTAATTTTCCCAGAGCCTTTATATACATATTTTACTTCCTACTATAGTCATTCAAAAAATAAAATCAATTAAGAATTAGTGCATTCCTTAGCAAAAGAAGTGCATTCTCAGTTTATAGATTGTTTCATTTACTAGACATAACTTAATTTGTGCATAATTGGTGCCGTTTGTTGTGTTTGCTGAGCTGAAGTGCCCATCCCAACACATGTGAGCTCCAAAGGTCCCGTGGGCCTCGGTCAGACCCTGTCCCGTTTCCCACGAGCTCGTGCAGCCCTGGACTGATGATTTGTGCCATGAAAACTGTCACGTATCACCTTTTGATACGAATGCCAAGATAGATCTCGATAGATCTCGCGCATTGAGATGCGCGTCGTTCTGCTCTGTCATCAGTGCATGACTGTGCGGGCTCTTGCGTACGGTCCCTTCTGCTCGGTGCACGACTGCCCTCCGTCTGCTGCCTTTGGATATGTGGAAAATGAGGAGAATCCGGCCTTGGGAGCCTGTTGGGTCTCAGGGGGCTGCTGGCAACATCGCTGTGAAGCTCTGGTGCTGCCTGCAGCTCATTAGATGATTTCTGAGCCCTGGATCTCTTGTCCCCAACAGAAGGACACTGGAACTAGAGAGGCCTGTGTGGGTGACAGCATTTAGATGTGGGTTTACTGATGGGGAAGGGAGATGCACAGAGGAAAAACAAGAGGGAAAATAATCTGCCAAAGGTTTGCAGTTTCCGTAATGACCTCGACCTGATGTGGTTTAAATATTGATCTTAGCTAAAAATTTGAGTGTTTAAGTATTACACTCGTTTAAAATGAGCTCATGTATAATTAAAGCAATTAAAATATTGAACTGATATTTAAAAATTAAAGCTGGATTCCTTTCCCAAAAGGGAAACTGCAGCTGTATCTGGAACAATTTAATTGTACCCATTTATTTCATTCAAACTGCAATATATCACAAAGGTAGGTTCCCTAGGGATAGGAGGAAATAAGAGAAACATGAGGCATGCCTCTGAGTGAGAATTTTTCAACTGTACACCTTTATTTTGATAATGCTGCTTTTTTTCTCCCTAAAATGGGACATTTTGCATTGGTTAAAAACATACCCATTTGATTTGAAAACTTTTATTTCAGAATTTCTAGTATACTCACTTTAGCGAAGCGAGTCCTGGTTGCTGTTCTTGTTGTGAGAGTGGCTGTCCCAAGGGACAGGTAGAGTCATTCTGGTGTGTTTTGTTTCTTCTCTTGTTTGCGACAATATTTTTGGACAGACTGTCTTATGTAATGTTCAAATGAAAGCATAAATAATACAGCTTACCCAGAACGCTGCCTTCAAGCTCAGCAAGTTTGCTTAAGATTTTCTCTTTACTAAAAAAAACCCCACAGTATTGGAAAGGCAACGTGAAAGGCCAGCCCCCCTGTTAGCTACTTCTCTTTGTAGCGTGGGTCTGTGGCCACTCCAATGAGTGGCATTATCCGAGTGTTCTGTAGATCCCTGGGGAGCAGCTCTCAGCTGCTGGGATTTGGGCATGGGGGTTAGTCAGGTGTGGGGCACTTTGCTAAATGAAACCTAGTGGCACTGAAGTGGAAGGGCTGTTGTGTCATGCTGTCACATCAGAAGAGGTGGCTTCCCATCTGTTTTTCCTGTCAGGAAACCTCCCTGGAATAATGTGGCTCTCCTTCGGAGAAGCTGTCCTCCTAAGGGGGCACGTTGATGGGGAGGATGGAAGGCAGAGGAGACTCCTCAGGTTTTGGGAGCCTGTGGGAGCAGCAGGGGCTGCTGTGCTGAAGCGAGAGCTTTGTGTTAGAAAAGATTGGGCCAGAAGACGGAATTCCCGGGAATTCAGGCGCTGTTAAAACAGCCTCCTCACCAGGCTAACAGCAGCGGTCAGGCGCTGCCCACCTTGGTGGTCATCAGCTGCCTGTTTCACCCACCTGGGTCTGTGCTCGGATAGGAGGATGTCCAGGTGTACAGCTAATCCCTTAACTTCGTTACGCAGCACTTCCAGTGATCTTCCAAAGCAGCTTATTTGAGTGGATTCCGTTCATACTGTTGTACCTCCTTTTCCCACGTTTCTTCCTCCTCCTCTTCCTAACAGACCACCATGAGAAACTGACTCCCAAGTAGGTCCTGGTCAAGCTGTATTTATGTTACTGCCTCCCTGCTCCCAGTGCCCCTTCCTTCTAAGCTGTCCATTAGTAACTTGTTTCTTAAATATTTTACTTGCAGCTGTTGAATAATTGAGCGCGCACCCCATAGAGCATCTGGTGCAGGAGCGAGC